GAAAACTCACATTTAACCCACATACTCTTAGTCTTGCCTCCCCCTCAAAGAACCTGCAAAGTGGCTATTCTTTTTTATTACAGTCAAGGAAACTAAGGTTTGAAAAGAAGATGGTCTTGTGCAGTAAGTGAAAGCCAGCTTTCAAACCAATATCCAATAATCCTACTCCAAACTTTTTCCTTCTTGCCACTTTTCCAACGATGAACCCATGCATGAACTGTTTCCTGCTCTACACATTACTTAATGCATTTAAATGCAACGGCAATTCTACTGTCCTATCTTATACTGAATGCAAAGAAGACATGGATAGAGAACTCTTCCTGTTCTAAGAAAAAGGGCAGGAGACAAGGACATTCTCTTTGTTCCTATTAAAAGAGAAATGATCAGCACACTTGTGAAATATAAAACCAAATTATAAAAAACTATGAACATTTTTCCTCTCAAGGACAATTTATACCCTCAAACATTTTTAGCAAAAAAGTCAGCAAATTAATCACAAATCAGTAAAGAAAATTATATGTAGCGAGAGTAATTCTGTATTTGTCTAATTGATTTTTATCATTTTATCAAAGCCAAATGCACCTAAAATTCCACGCAGTCAATGAGACAAAGCAAATTAACTGAATGAGCACTTTGCCATTTTCACTCATTGTATCCTTCTCTTTAACATAAAAGTTTCAAAAATACTTTTGCAAACAAGATAAAGAACATTTATGACATAGCAAAGGTTACTTTGAACTTAAGCTTTAAAACTAATCACCCCCCCTTTTATTGTGTGATAGTTTACATGGGGGAACACTAGCTGTACACTCATTCTATCATACATTGTTTCATTGCCATAGTTAGCATCCCGTCCATGCATCATCACCCAACCAAAGGTTATACCCCACAGGCCCCCTCTCTATCCCCACGGTCCTCAGCACACAGTTCCCTTCCCTCCCTGGATCTCAAGTCCTCAGCCACTCCATCTCTTCATGTCATCCTCTCTGTCTCCATCTCAGGCCTCACTGCTTCTCTGGGTGGGGTCCCGATTTCTGTTCTTCTCCAGTGATGGTTCCAGGGCCCTTCGCTCCTAGACTGAAAGGTTAATCACATCCCTCCTTGCTATAAAATATCCACCTTTACCTTTCCAGTCCTCACAATCCATCCTGATAACAATTATTCACCCCTGCATCACAAGAGACCCATCTGCATTTCTTTTCATCAGCCCTTCCTAGACAAGTCAGATATTACTCATTTGAGACTCCACCCTCCTCCCCGTGCTGTCAATCCAGGTTCCCTCTTGAAAGCTTGTAAACCAGTCACTTCTTACCTTTGTATCCCTCCCCCCATTTTGGGTAGCCAATGTTCAAGTTGCACATCCCTATACTGTATATATTGTAGCCCCTTTTTAGGTATTCCAGTCAGTTCCAGGCAGAAGACGGACTTACAAGCTTTCTATGGTGTCTGGTTATTCCTCCCTCTACTCTCCCGTGACTGTTTTATAATATAATGCATGGAAAACCAAGGTTCAAGAGTCAGCCAAGCATCTCAACATTATTCGCCCCCTTTCCCCATTCCAACCATGTCCCAGTCTCTGTATCCCAGAGCCCTGTTGTTCCAAGGCTGTACCTACATCATTTATTACCTCTGTCCCATTTAGCTCATTCCTACCTGTCTGTTCTCCCATCTGCTTTATTCCTCCATTCCCCTCTCCCTACTTGTATATTGCCCCCTCCCTAACACCCAAGTTATCCCATGTCTATTTCCTGCCCTGTGTTCCACCTTCCCCTCCCATCCTTAACCCCACCCCTACGCCCTAGCATCCAGTTAATCATCTACTTTAGTGAAATAGTATGGGTTCTTTTTCTTAGTCTTTTACAGTAGTGGTCCTATGTAATATTTTTCCTTTTGTGACTGACTAATTTCACTCAACATAATGTTCTTAAGGTTCCTCCATGTTAGGAAGTGGCATGCAGCTTCCTTGTTATTTTTCAATATAGCATAGTACTCCATTGTGTGTATGTACCACAGTTTGTTTATCCATTCTTCAGTTGATGGGCACTAAAAACTAATTTTTAAAGAAATATGAAAAAGGGAACTCACTCAGCTTCCTGATAAGAAGGGCAATAGGGAAACTTGGAAACAGATAACGGCCATGGATGAATAGCATGATAAACCTAACTAATGTCACAGAACTGTAAATGTGAATGATGTTAACAAGGCAAACTACGAGTTAGAGCTATGTGTAAATTTTGGTAATTAGAATGCAAAGGTTGGAAATAAAGAGGAATGATTAGTAGTTGAAAAATATGGCTCTGGTAATAGAAATGATGCTGGTCTTCAGTCATTAGTGTCTAATGCATCAAATCAGATGATCTATAAACTCAGATGGATTATGTTCAAGGTTCTAATTTGGCTCTTGTGGACTTGTTTTAATTTTCTGTAGCTTCAGCCTGAATTTAATATGAGTAATTGATGGTCTGTTCCACAGTCTGTCCTGGCCTTGTTTTGGCTGATGATACAGAGCTCTTTCACCATCTCTTCCCACTGTTGTTGTTATGTGCCATGGAGTCGGTTCCAACTCATAGTGACCCTATACAGGATTTCCGAGGCTGTAAATCTTTACAGGAGCAGAAATTCTCATCTTTCTCCCACGAAGTGGCTGGTAGTTTAGAACTGCTGTCCTGGCAGTTCGCAGCCTGATTCGTAACCAATACACTACCAGAGCTCCTTCCCATAGATGTAGCCAATTTGATTCCTGTGTATTCCATCTTGTGAGCTCCATGTATATAATTACCTTTTACATTGTTTAAAAAAGGTATTTGCAATGAATACGCCATTGGACTTGCAAAATTCTGTCATGCGATCTCTACCACCCAAATATGTGGAGATCTGCTCATGTAAAATTACACATTGACAGAGTCAAGTCTGACTCTTAGTAATGCTTTAAGCAGAGTCAGATCTCAAAAATCCTGTAGTAGTGCTCCACTTGTTCATAGTAAAAGTCAGGCCTTCTGGTGTTGCCAGCCAGACCCTGTGTATTATGATATCCTTTTAGGTCTCTGGCCTACCTTCTCCCACTCTGCCTTTTGCTCAGCTCTCTAACCCAGCTCACCTCCTTACTGTCACTTATACATACCAAACATATTCTATCTGGGGGGTCTTTGCACTGGCCTTTCCCTATTGAGGAAACTCTTCTCAATTAATGGCTTTTTTTTTTTTTTGAGATTTGAAAAGATGGATATAAATTTACTAATAAATTTAAAAGAGCATTT